AAAGAATAAAGATGTTTTTTTCTAAATATGGGTCCCGCTTGCCTTCTCTTCCTTAGTCCTTATTTTGAACCAAAGCTGCATGGCGTTTTTGTTTAACTATGGTTCTAAGGAGCAGTAGTTTGGTAAATGTTTTTAACCAAACACTAATTTGGTAAATAGTTTTTGCTTTAGCATTATTTTGGTAAAAAACTCCATTTATTCATACATGTGGCTAATTTCCTATTACCTTATGTGAGAACTTAGAAGAAATCCAATAAGGTGGCCAATTACTCGGCTGCTTGATGCTGTAAAGAGTCTGACCGTGTGGTTTTTATAACTTCTATGAGCTTCTATGAGCTTATGTATATCATACTACGTATCTCTTTTTATATTATCTTTTTTTATCATAGCTTCCCTTTTTTTATCGTTCTTATCTTTCTTTTCCCTTTTCATTGTGATATCATGTTAATTAGAAATTGTTAATTAGACGACCTCAAAATCTTTTAAGGACTCTATGTATTGGAAATTGTTGTATACGACTTGGCCAAAAAATTCAGAATAAAAATGTGAAGTACGACTGAGTGTTCTCATATTTATTCTTATTATTTTGACCTTTATATGTAGGTTGATGTATTTTACTCTACTCTCACAGAAGCAACAGGTGAATGGAGCTCACATACACACCTCACAATATATTCTCTAATAATGAAAGTCAATTTGAATACAAAAAGGAGAAGTAATAAAGGTTAAGTCAGGCCAGGGAATCGAGCTGAAGATATAACTGAGTTGTAGATTGAGAGCTCGTTTGGTAGCAAAAAAATTGGTTGATTTGGCTGAAATTTATGAAGTTCTGGCTGAATTGGCCGATTCTACTGATTTAAGGGGAAACAATTTAAAATATTTTTTTTTAATAAAAAAAATATACAAATAGCCAAAATGGTCATCTACAGTAACTTCAACCAATCCAGCCACAAAAATAACTCCAACCTTACTTTTTCTGCTTATTACACAACTCAGCGCGTGAAAGCAAAAGTTGCGTGTTTGGTGAAAAAGTTGGTTGATAAGTCTCATAAGCCGAAAAACATGTTGTCAAACGGCCTCTCGGTGTTGAACGTTATTCATAAGAAGAGAAATTTTGGGCCAATAAAGATCAACAATGTGGTCAACATATTTTACGGAGTAATTCTTTAACTTTGGGTATCATTTTTTCATTTACTTCAAATTTGAGTTTCCTATTCAATTGAACGTTCAGTTAAGTTTTTGAATATATTAAAGATGTTTTCTTTTGGGCTGAAATTTGTTGGTCTGGTCTGCTTTGGCCTAGTCTGATCTGGTCTGGTAAACGTCTAGTCTATGTGTATGTTATAACTACAGAAGTCTAGTCTGATTTGGTCTGGTCTGGTCTGATCTGGTCTAGTTTGATCTGGTCTGGAACTGAAAACAGTTCAAAAGAAAACATCCTAAGATTAAGTACTACTAATATGTTGGAAGTAAGACATGAATGTTGTGTATACTTCGTATATTATTGGAGATGAAATAACTTTATCATCGAATGGTAAATCATAATTTCCAATATGCAACGAAATTGAGGTAATATGTACGGGGTATTTTCTTGTATAAATTTTGAGAGTTTGTCTGCAAACAATTAAGTACTTTGCTCATTTGTTATAAAAGTTTATGAAAGTGTCAATGAAGATATTCAAATAAACAAAATATTGATATATGTTGTACATATTAGTGGGCCTTTTGTATATCGGGCAACGCGCCTGTTAAAAAACTAGTCTAAACATAAGCGATCATCCATGACTACAAGGCTAAATGGCTAATCAAGAATTGTAGACCTCTTTAGAAACAAACAATTACTTCTCGAAAGAATGACAAGAATAATACGTAGTACTATAGGTGATTAAATTAAAATATAAATGACTTATTTAGGTAAGCTATTGTCTTTTCTAATGGAACATATCCTTTATGATTTTATAAAGGAACTATAAAATGAGTTTTAGAATTTGATAAGATCTTTTTAACGAATTATAAAATGGTTGAAACATAGCGACATATGTGTGAGATAAAACTAATGCTATGAATAATATCTGGGCCATTTCTTACTCATTTTGAAAAGATATTATCTCTCTATCACTAACATTGGTACATGAGACTATGAGAGGGTGTGACAATTATTAAGAAAAATGAGTTTATATGGTTGATTTTGAATTAATAAAATGAGACTGAATTAAATTAAAACCACATAAATTTTATCTGATTGGGTAGAATAAATTCCACTTTTACTCGCACGAGTATTTCATCAATTCTACAATTAGTCCACGTTTTTGACCACTTTTGATAGATGACTATTATGTTTTTGCTCATATATGGTTCTTCCGTCAATGTTTTCAGTGGTTAATATCGCCGAAAAAGACCACAAATGATCAAGAAACATAAGCCTAAAACCAAAAGTGGATAAAATGGAAGACATAGATTAATTGTGAAATTGACATAAAATTTATAGGATCAAAAGTGAAATTAAGTCAATTTGTTATGAGACAATCTTATTGGGCTTGTCTATGACTATGTTTGGCGGGCATAAGTCTTTGCCTTCTAGCATTTGTACTATTTAAAAAGTCTTTAAAAGTTTTTTGTTATATGTTTAAAGTGTCAATTTTTAAGAGCTTTTATAAAGTTAAAAGATCTTTTTTGAGATGATATAATGAGTAGTATCCTAGATAAGTCTGTAGCTTCTAACATTAATTAGTATCAACATGTATATCAAACTGATCTAATTCAAACAGTGAGGGCCCGTTTACTAACAGAAATATTTTCCGGTTTTCTACTTCTGTTTTTTGTTCTCCAATTTTCTGTTTTTATTTTTCAGTTTTTCTTTCTCCAATTTTCTGTTTCTATTTTCAAATCTGAAAACATGTTCATCAATTTTTTCATCCAGTTCTCCAATTCCACACCCTTGACCCTTACCCCTACCCTTACCACAATCTTACACTCTACCCATACTCCCCCACAACCCTTCATACCCACCCATACCTACTCGTAGGTGTCGGGGTGGTGGGGGTGGGGTGGTCAAGTCTAGGGGTAGGGGGTTGGGTGGGGGTAGTGGGTGGGGTAGGGTCGTGGTTAAGGGTAAGGGTGGGGTAGGGTTGGAGTAGTGGGTAGAGTTGGGGTAAGGTAGGGGTAGGAGTTGGGGTAGGATGGCGGTAGGGGTGGGGCCGGGACCAGGGTGGGACCGAGGTAGGGAAGGGGTAGGGTGGGGGTAGGATGGCGAAAAGGGTGGGGGTAGTGGGTAGGATTGGGGTTGGGGTAAGGTAGGGGTAGGGTAGGGAGTTGGGATAGGATGACAGTAAGGTGGGCCCGAGATCCGGGTGGGGTCAAGGTAGGGTAAGGGGTAGGATGGCGGTGGGGGTACGATGGCGGAAGGGTGGGGGTAGGATGGCGGTGGGGTGGGGCTGAGGTAGGGGGCATGTGGTAAGGGGTAAGGTAGGGGGTGGGGGTAGAGTAGGGTGGGGTCGGGGTGGGGTCGAGGTGGTAGGGGGTGGCGGTATGGTAGGGTGGATCGGAGTGGGGCCGAGGTAGGGGCATGTGGTAGGGGGTGGGGTAGGGTCATTATAGGGAAAATGAGTACGCGGGGTGGGGTTGGGTGGATAGGGTATGGGTAAGGGGTAAGGTACGAGGATGGAGGTACCGGAATGGAATCGACATAGGAGGGGTACCGGACCCACCACTAGGTTTAAGTATGCAAATTCATTGCAATGACTAGTAAAAGTCACTTCTCCAAATCATGAAGGAAAATAGAGACATTTCTCATTTTTTTCATTTTGGAAAACGATTTGATAAACACGTTTTTTTTCCTTTCTCCAGTTTTCCAGCAATTTCTTTGGTAGACAAGTTTCCTATTTTCTATTTTCCAGTTTTTCAGTTTTCTGGAAAACTGGACCCTAAACCAACAGCTGCTAAAGGCCCTGTTTGGCAATCAGCTGTTAGTGGTCAGCGCTCAGCGGACAATGTTAGCGGGTTCAAAACGGCGGATTGAGTCAGCGGGTTTGACTTGCAGATTAGTTTGGCGTGTTATAGAAAGATGTTTGGTAGAATAGCTGTTTGCTTTTAGTACATTTATAATGAAATGTATGATAAAAAGACAAAAAAAGACAATAGTACATTTATTTATTTATTTATTTATTTATTTATTTATTTATTTATTTATTTATTTATTTATTTATTTATTTATTTATTTATTTATTTATTTAATACGTATGATCTTATAAGTATGCTAATAATTTTTATTAGTAGATTTAGTACATAGATAAAAAGACAAAAAAAGACATTAGTACATTTATTTATTTATTTATTTATTTATTTATTTATTTAATACGTATGATCTTATAAGTATGCTAATAATTTTAAAAATAATTAAATAAAAGTATAATAATTAAAATTCATTGAATGAAATTAGTTTAAGTCCAAACTAATAAAGGTATTGAACATCCATAATTTTATTGGGAGTGAGGAGGTTTGCCAAAGAAGAACACATGTCTGCCTAGGGATGATAACCAGATCATAAGGCCTTCCGAAGACAACTTTTGGCTCCACTACAGTCTACAGTAGTGCTTATCATCATCAACGATAATATTCAGATTAGTTTACGTACTCGAAGTTGATTTCTTCACAAAGGCAGAGGTTTGCGGAAGAAGAAAACGGTAGGTCCGTCAAGGCGTCACAGGTCGCGACAAGTTTATTCCGCAGAAGAAGGATATGGAAGGGCTGTGAAATTGAAGAAAGAATTCGAAGGGCAGGAGTGAGAATTGGCTACGTGATTAGAATCCACCAATCCTAAACGCTACACTTTCTAATGTTTTAGTTTTTGCCGTTTCGGACCAAAACTCTATTCAAAACCGCTGTACGCCAAACACCTCATTTTAGCGTTTTGACGGGTCAAATCCGCCAAAGACGGTCAAATCCGCCAAAAAGTGGCGGAAAAGCCGTTTACCAAATATGGCCAAAATCAGTGACAGAGTACCGCAAGCTCAGTGATGATAGAGCAGTGGGAAAGAATTGAAAATAGTCTCTAGCTAAACCCTAAACCAGGTGGAAGATGAAGATGGGTAGTGTCTCAAAGCTACTGGCTGAAGGATCGCTGGTTGAGGTCCGCTCGAGAGAAGAAGGCTTTGTGGGAGCTTGGTTCGAGGCAGTCGTACTCGGCCCTGCGGATCCTCATCTTTCATCACTCCCAACATCGGCCTCCTCCAACAACAAGAAGAAGAAGGTCTGGGTTGAGTATCGAACCCTCATTTCCGACAATGATGAAGATGACGAGCCAAACAAGCCTTTAAGAAAGCTCGTCAGCCCATACGTCATCCGTCCCCGCCCTCCTCCTAATTATACGACTAACAAGGGTTTCGTGCTCTACGACATTGTTGATGCTTTTTACAAGGGTGGCTGGTGGACTGGTTTCGTGACCGGAGTTCTCGAATCTTCCTCTCGCTACCTCGTCACCCTCCGCAACCCGCCGGAAGAGCTTGAATTCGGTCCGTCTGACTTGAGATTCCATCGCCGGTGGGTCAAAGGAAAGTGGATGGAGCCCGAAAAGAACAAATCTGCCGCAGGAGGTGCATTGACGATGTTTAGGGTTGGGGAAGAGGTAGAAGTCTCCTTTGACGGAGATGATTGTAGAGATGCTTGGTTTCCTTCGACTGTGGTCAAAACTCGTGGGAATGGAGCATTCGTGGTCAATTGCTGCAGAGCGAACGCTGAAAATGAGAAAGAGGTAATTAGAGTAGCTGTTGATGGCAGCCATATCCGACCATGCCCTCCCTCTCCCCTCTTAAAAAATAATACAAAGACTAATTTTGATTTGCTTGAGGAAGTAGATGCGTTTTATGATTTTGGCTGGTGGTTTGGAGTGATAAGGGAAGTACTTACTGACAGTAGGTATGTTGTTGTCTTTGAGCATGAGAAAAAGAACAAGAGGAAAGATGAGGAGAGGGTTTTCAATCACTTGGAATTAAGACCTCACATGAATTGGAAAGATGGAAAATGGTATACTTCTGAGGGTAAACCAGTCCGGCCGCCATGTAACTATACCGCCCTTGAGGATATTGGGGAAAACATCAATGATGTGGAGGAGGATATGATGACCCAAAGTGCTTCTGGCAGCCAAGGAGGAAATGTGACAGTTTCACTGGTGAGAAGTAAGAAGAAGCGTTGTCGTCCTCTAGCAGAATTGTTGCTGCAAAAGGAAGGAGAGGTTTCAAATCAATTGCCACTGCCATATCCTCTCCTGCTTAACAAATGTAAGAAAAAGGCAGGAAATGAATGTGAAGCTGTGGAAATCCCATCTGGACAAAAAGTTTCAATTCCAACTAGTTCTGTTGCTGCTCAAGGTGAAATGGGTGGTGATCAAGTAGAAACTGGAAGTAATAGTAGGAATGAAGTTGAAGAAGTTGCTATTCAAAAGAGACAGAGTGGAAGTGCACGGAATTCTAGTACGTGTAATAATACACTCAGGCTGTGTTTTGGATCCTGAGAAATGCTAGCAAGTTGCTATTCAAAAGAGAAAGATGGAAAGGAAAAGAAAATGTTAAAGGAAGTTATTTGCTCATGTTTTGCTTAAACTCAGAAAGTGCAAATGACATGAAATATGACTAATATTTCTAAAACAGTTACAATTTAGTTTTCTTAGTAGTTGTTTAAAAAATGAGTTATAACGAGCAATAAATTTTAATTTATTAAATTTCAAATAATGTTTTATATTTATCAACATTTTCTTTCCTTCCAGATCTCTTTTATAATTTTCTCCATGTTTGGTTTCCCTAGCCTTTTCCGGGTTTCAAACGGACCCTGAGGAAAAGGGGAAAGGGCAGATGCCTGATGTACTAACCTCACCAAATTCCAGATGCTGCTGCTGTACATGAGACTTGTGAATCAGGAGAGAATTCAGGTGTGCAAAATCATCCAGCTACGGGCAATGGAGGAGAAGTTCTTGAAGTAGCTACTACTGTAAGTGAACATCTCCAAAGCAGATTTCTTCCATTCAAGAAGACAAAATTAAGTCAATGGGACAAAATAGAATCCCGAGATGTTTTCCAGAAATATCCACAGAAGCCACATTTTCAGCCGCTTGAACATGTTGAAGACAGTTATCGTGAACCACTGATGATCTATTACATGACAACTTTCGCTGATATAATTGATGACGCTCGCTTTTTGGGGTTTGATGGTCCTAGAAGCACCATCGACGAAATGCTGAACACACTCTGCGTTTTGGAGTCTCAAGGGTTCAATGTTGAGCCTGCTCGCCGTCACTTAAATGAGATTCTGTCATATAAAGACAAAAAAGAACATCTCCAGAACTTGTTGACTCAAACCCGTGGTGAAAAGGAGAAGCACAAGATGGAGAAAGCACGTATTGCTGAAGAGGTTGATGAGCTGAAGAAGCAAATGGCTAAGTTGGAAAATGTCATTGCTTCTGCACAGTCCAGGGAGGATGAGATCAATAAGGAAATCACACATTTGTGCCCAGATTATGACACTTTATTATCACTTTAATCTATTCCAACTGCTATCAGGTGACAAAGCAATGTTGAAGACTAAGGTAGGAGTAGTTTGTAGTGTATACTGTGTATTTATGGAAAATTACGTTTCTGCATGCCCATTTGTAGACGTCCCACGTCCCCTATATTTTGTCGTTACGATCCATCTTAAAAATGCAAAAATTGTCCGTGATACGGATAAAATGTAGACATGACTTGTGCGCCAAGAATTAGTCTACAAAAATTCTTTCTTGTACACATTTTTTTGTACACCCCAACTTACACATGTATGTGAGCAATTATTTTTTTGTGGGTGAATAGTCTCTTCACGAAAAAAAGTAGACTAAAAAGTAGACATATCTTTCATGTCTATTTGTATAATATTTTTGAAACATGATAAAAGTATACAAAATAAACTAAAAAATATTTTGATTATAAATGAAGTAGGCCCAATGGGATTTCCCGATAGATTGGGTTTATAGTTTATAATGTAGACTTTTTTTTGAGGAAAAACTCTTATTTATGTTGGCTTTTTTGTGTGTGTGAAAGAAATCAGCTTATATTATAATATAAGGAACTAAGAGGGTGTTTGGATCTGATTCTTAAAACTGCTTCTGCTCCTTCAAGGAGTAGAAACAGAAGTTAGAGTGTTTGAGTGGAAGTGCAGAAGTACTTCTGGTGCCCTTATTTACTCTAAGAATCATTTTTTTTAAAAGTTGGGGGAGACCAACTTATGAAAACTGATTCTTATTCTGCTTCTGATTTAAAAAAGAAGCACAAACAGAATCAGTTCCAAACACCCCCTAAATAGGTAACATCAAGACCAGTAAACAAGGTAAATCCTTGATCATAAAACCATAGTTAGATCATAAATCCTTGAGTCAAACTTAAAGTTAGTCACACACATAGAATCAATATGACTCTCGAATCCTCAGACGGACACATGTAAGTCAACCATGATCAGTCCAAAATGTTGACTCTTTATTACTCCGTATTAAATGGGATTTGAGACAACCATTTTTTTACAGTACTTTATCACATGTTATAATATCTGTTCTGTTAAATGTCAACATTGTTGATTGAGATTAGTCTTGAACCTTTGACATTCTCTTTGAGAGTGTCCCAATAATACTATTAAATGTGCTTGACTAAAATGCGGCAAATCGACAATGTTAGGATTGGAAATTGCGATTTTCATTCACAATTCCTATTTGAAATAGGGCTAAAGGGTCAAATAGGCTCTTGAATTGACTTAAAGTGTTCAATTAGCCCCTTATATAGGAGGTTCTGTCCGGCCGTCGCTAATTGGGGCGGTTCCCGGTGGAATTTTTTGATGAAATTTTTTGAGCATCTTCTTCATTAAGTCTAGTTTAGTCATACCAAATTTCAGCTAAAAACTCAACCGGGAAGGCAGTCCAATGATTTTCCGAAATGTACTGCGTTGTTTAACTTCACAGTTATCTTCAAAAAATCATTTGACTACCTTCCCGGTTGAATTTTTAGCTGAAATTTGGTATGAGTAAACTAGACTTAATGAATAACATGTTCAAAAAATTGCATCAAAAAATTCCACAGGGAACCTACCCAATTGGTGACGGCCGGGCAGAACCTCCTACATAAGGGGCTAATTGAACACTTTAAGTCAGTTCAGGGGCCTATTTGACCCTTTAGTCTTGAAATAATGACTAAAATAATACTATCAGCTCTTCGTTAGACAAAAATAAGACTTTCAGTTCAGACACAAAAAAGACTAATTATGTGTTAACACACAAAATTACCCTCGTATAAATACAAAAGCCTAATGCCCACAGTCAGTCACCTCTCTTTTTCTTACGGTGGACGTTGCTGGAGACTCTCTCCCCTTCGTTCAATTTTCGGACCGTAACCACCAAGGAAATTACATCTCCACCAACGCCGAAATCACCTCCGACGGCCTTCTTCACCGCTTGCCTTAGTCACTCGCCTTCACTGGGCCTTTAGCCCCTTTGCTGCTCTATAGTCCTATAGATTCTCCATCAACACCGCAACCCCTATCATCCCTCATATCTCTTCCTTTTCTTCTCTTTCTTCTAGTTGGGATGTCGGCTTGGTCTTCTTTACAACAAACCGTTGGTGTTATGCGGCGGAGATGACTTCAAATCACAGTTTGAAGTCGTTTGACGGGACAGTATCAAGAATCTTATTTGTGCTCAAACCTATAAAAATTAATTAGCAAACTCGACCCGAGCTAAGACAGAGCTTGATTTGAGCTCGATTGCACCCATATCTAGGGCAAATTATACCGTACACCCGGATGTACGGTCCTCACCGTACATCCGGGTATTTTTGAAATTATTATGAACTTCTCCCAGTCCATCGTCCGCTGCACTGCCCCTATTCCTTCTCCTAGGTCATCGCCGTTTCCGTCTGTCTGTGCCGATCGATTTCCGAGTCAGACGATTCTGATGAAGTTTGTGATGGTGAAGAAGAAGAAGTTGGCGTATCATCCTCTTGCCTGCGCTTCTTCTTCTTTCTGCTCGAATGCCCCCCATGGTTCCGGAGATGTTTGTTGCTCGGTGCAGCGTTGGTCAATTGACTACTGGTGTGGGAACGTTTTTCTCTTTTGTCTTTCTTGTTCTTCTTTTCTTTCTTTTATGTTTTTCCTTCTTTTCTTTCTTTTTCTTAATTTTTTTAATCTTTATTCAATTATAAAATATTTTAGATATTAATGTTTTGTTTTGCTATATCTCATTTTGTAATTTACGTATGCTCATTTAATATTCGTTTTATGCTCATTTTAAAATGTCATATCAATACACAAATGAATATTGAAGACATATTGAGCACAATAGAAATGAGTTTTATGTTAAATTCAAATGAGTGTAACGTCTAAAATGAATGAGCACACAAAAATGCGTTTTTAAATTTTTTGACACTCATTTCGTAAGTTATGTATGCTCATTTGGTAGTAATGGTATGCTCATTTTAAAATTCCATATCAATATTGCATATTTTAAAATTATTATACTACATTAAATTCGCATATTGTTTTAAATTGAAATCGATTATAGACATAATTTCAGAAATCTTTTTTAAACAAATAAAAAAATTACATTAGAAAATTTGAAGCAGATTTCACGATACTCATTTTAGGCTCCTAGCCTCCTATTACTCAAAACAATAGGCATGATGCTCACCAAACTTGCATTAATGCTCATTCCAGACAAATCGCGATTTTCATCTCAATAGCAGATGTTTGATGCTCAATGAAATGTCTTGATGCATATTCCAAAAGTTTAATATTAAATTAGATTCGTATATTTGAATTCATATGAATCTATTATAGATATAATTTTAAAAAATTATATAAAAGAAAAAATAAGAAAAAGAAAGTGAAACAGCAGTTATGAAGAAGAATTTATGCTGCTCAACAATACTCAACATAATAGGTCTGTTGCTCATTAAAAGTTCATTAATGCTCATTTAGCAGAAACCGTGAATTTCATCTCAATAGAGGATGTGTGATGCTCAATTAAAATCGTTATCTTGAACTCATTTAGTAAGTTATGTATGTCCATTTAGTACCTTTGTTATGCTGATTTTAAATAACAAAGCAACTAACAAATTCATTAATACTCATTTTGTATGTTACGTATGCTCATCTGGTAGAGATCTTATGCTCATTGTCTAAATGTCATATCGATGCATTTTTTAAAGTACTATTTTACATTAATTCACATATTGAAATTCACAGGAGTTGATTATAAATATATATAATTTAATAAGATTTTATAAAAGAAAAAATAACAAAAAGAAAGTGAATTAGAAGTTATGAAGTGGAGATCACAATTCTCAATATTAGACTCCTAATACTCAACAGAATGGATATGATGCTCATTAAACGTTTATTATTGCTCATTCACTAGAAACCGTGAATTTCATCTCAATAGCGGATGTTTGATGCTCAAATATTAAATGTGAATATATAAAACGTGAAATGAGTATCAAAAAGTTCAAAATGAGCATTACGCCAATATGCATGGATATGACATTTAAGTTGTCTCGTGTAATGCTCATTTTAAAATTTACGAAATGAGCATAGAAAAAATTTAAAAGCTCATTTAAAATCTCGAATACGCTTAAATATCAATTTGTGTATTCAGTATGCTCAATAGAATAGGTCTGGTGCTCACTAAAAGTTCATTATTACTCATTCTCCAGAAGTCGTGATTTGCATCTCACTAACACTATATAAAAAAATTATAAACATATTTATATAAAGTAATAGTATGATTCATAGATCAAATAAATACTTCAAAAATATGAATTAGTCTTTTAATATAGTAATAATGAGCAAAAGCAAAAGAATAGTTAATATTATAATTACTATAATAATACGCGGTATGAAACTAAATAGGATAAGTAAGATAAATGAACCGATTATTTCAACAAGACAAGTTAGTGAGATGGTTGAAAGGCCGAATATCCTACTTTGGGTCGCAGGATCGAATCCCGCTGTGGTTCTTAATTTTTTTTAAGCTGAGGCCGCGATTTGCTGGGAGCCCACCAATCATATTTAATAATTGGACCGGATGTACGTACACCCGGGTGTACTATATAGGCTCGGTTAAGGATGTTTTAATTGTATTCAAATCTTCTGATCTAGTGTGGTCTGGTCTGATATAGTGTGATAGATTACTTTCATATGTGTACTTAACAATTGACAAAATTTGGTCTGATTTAAGCAAATGTGTTCAAGTCCCATCTGATCCGTTTCTAGCGAGGGAATGTTTGCAAAAATTTAAGTGCTTTTCAGCTTTTAGCTTTAAAAAGCTGAAATTAGTGTTTTCAAGTGATAACTTCTGCTTAAATTAAACACTTAAAAGTTAAAAGCTGGAAAGAAGTTGAGGGGTGCTTTAAACTGTTTTTCACCTTTTCTATTAGACAAAAACACTTATTTTATCACACTCTACCAACTTTTACTTTTTCAGAATCACTTTTATCTCAAACAGTACCATTTGTTACTATTAAGTACTCCCTCAGTCCCAATTTACTTAGCCAAACATGATTTTCCAACTCAATGGTACCTAACTTTGACTGCTTATATATTTATATAGATAAAATATTAATAATATGAAAATTATATGAAAATGTTTTTGTTGAAAATACTATCATAAAAGTATAATATTTTTATTTTTTACATAAATATATTAGTTCAAATAATTGCTCAAAGTTGACCACCTTTGACCTGAAAAGTCAAGATTGGCTAACTAAAATGGGACGGAGGGAGTATTTTTTTCCAAAACCAATTACAAAAGCATAACGGTGTTTGCAAACACATTTTGTACACATTAGTTGTGTATCTAGGATGTTTTCTTTCAGACTATTTTCAGTCCCAAATCAAACCAAACGATACCAAATCAGACCAGACAGATCAGACCAGACTTCCATAGTTATAAAATACACAAAGATCAGACGTTTAACAGATCAAACACTAGACCAGATCAGACCAACAAATTTGACTCCAAAACAAAACATCCCTACAACTGCGTTCGTTATAGACAAACAAGTGAGATTACTTTACTGATCTTCTCTTCCAAATCATTACTGGGGTGGACATGGAAAAAATACAGCAGCAGCCCTGGTGGAAGAAGTTAAGGTGGTCGTACAGGAACGCGACAATTTTGGTCTCTTCGCTCAACCTCATCGCCGCCCTTTTCCTGCTTCAAAATTTCTTCTTTTCTGCTTCCCCTTCCACCAAATCTACGTCAGGTTCAGTAATTCCTTCCTCTCTTCTCATTTTCTGTTAAGGTTCCAAGAACATGATTGTGTTCTCTATCTTCTTCTTACTATTGTTTTTCTGAGTTTTACTTTATAACAAGATTTCCGGCATTCAAACTCTCTAAAATGTATTTCTGATATTTGTTCAATCTTATCTTATTCTTTTATTTCTATTATAAAAAATACGAAATCAATCATTGGTAAAATTAACAACACTAATCGTATTTCATATTGCTTTACTTTTTTTTTGAGGTAAAAGTGTAAGTAAGATTGAGTTTGTGATGAATTGGATTTAGTGTAAGCAAGATTCTGGTTGTAATTGGGCGGAGACTAGGTATGCAATTACCTGATTCACCCTTAACAGCAAATTAATGGGAGAAAACATATGCAGAAGATATCTAGATAAGAACTATAAGGTCTTTCAACTTCAGGATCTGCATCTTTCAGATTATCTTTTAAAAACCCTTTTTGCTCCGCTGTGAGAAATTACTTAGGAGTTACTAATGTTTGTGCATACTTTGAAGCGCAGTTGAAAGGTATATTAAGGAATCTGAAGAGATTCGTCTCGCAATGTTGCCTGTGGATCTAATTAAAAGAGTGAGTATGTGTGGTTTTATAGTCACATTACTCTCATCTCCTGGTATTAAGGGTCTGTTTGGATAAAAGGAGATACTTGGGGGGGAGGGAGGTAGGAAACCAATGAGGGTAATTGAAAGGAAAGAAGATGTGGAGTGATGGATGAGATGGGATAAAATTCAATGAATTTATTTTCGATCATTATTGATACTAGTTTTATTTTTATGCCCATTATATTAAGACTTAGAAACCTAAGTATATGTAAAAAACAATAAACTAGTAATTATTTTTATTTTTTCCTCTGCATTTTCAGGTCTGTTTGGATAATAGAAAATAGTAGGGGGATTGAAGGAAATATTGAAGAAAATTGGGAGGGAAGAAGATGTGGGGTGAGGGAAAGATATGATAAAACTCAATAAATTTATTTTGGATACTTGTGGATCCTCGTTTCATTTATTTATGCCTATCATGCAAAGTATAAGAGAGCTAAATAAATGTAAAAAGAACTAATAATTAGAAAACAATCTTCGTTGGCACTCCCCCCTCTCACTAGCATTTTCTAGGATCCAAAGATAGCCTAATTGTATACTGATAAGGGACTAATGACTATAGGTAATTCTTGCTTTTTTAAATAAGACTTATAATAAGAAATACTTGCTAACTTATCAGGTGAAGGAAATTGAAAATGAAGCATACATTGAAGCAGAATCAGCTGAACATAAGGATGCAAAGCAAGGTGCTGCAGTAAACCTGGTATCTAGGATAAACAACTTCCGTTCATATTCTGATGCTAGCGGCATAAAAGGTAATATATATTCCAAACACAATGTGTTGACAGTGGCCTTTTTCACTCCTGTCCCCAAGTGTCCGTTTGGACCCCGTAAAATACTAAAGAAAAAAAGCAAGGATAGCATACAAAAAAGTTACAAGGGGATGTAGCCTGTAGGTGAATATAAAATATAGGTTAAAATTCGTTTTAAATATTTGTAAATACTCATTTTATTTGTATATCTCTGTTATATGGAGACTATGAAATCTAAGTATATGTAAAACTTTAAAATCGTAATCTTTCTTTTTTCCCTCACATTCACCAAGGTAAACCAAAAAAAAAGAAAATGATTTTCCTTTGCAATTCTTTCCTTTCCCTAGCATTTCCTATGATCCAAAGTTCCAAACATATATTTAAAAGCTCATACTCCTATATAGGTGCAAAACATTGTGCATATTCAATACAACAACTAATATGTGTATTCCAACATGGCAACATATACTATTCTTTACCTTGCTAGGGAAATTTTATGGTGCCCTATATGACTCCACTATGAAGTCATATGACAATATGTGGCCTCAGTGCTATCATTCATTTTTATAGTAAACCCTCCAATATAAAAATAAATGACTATTATGTGGCCAGAATGTCTGTTTGACTCCATAGTGGAGTCATATATGTCAATGAGTTAACATCTCACTTTCTCAGTTGTTCGTTTGGAGTGGAAACTTTGTTTTTTTTCTGGTTAAGTTAAAAGAAATTACGATGGATGGGAGTAAAACAATGGCCATATTCACAAACAGGAGCACTTATCTTTATATATCACAAAGTAGGAGTGATGTAATGCTATGTAAAGATGTCAAATATTTCACTCCAAAATATACCGTGTTCCAATTGATTGATTATCATAATAGTCACGATTCAATTAGGTATCTAAGATACAAACAGCATTATATGTTTCCCATCAATTGATGGAATATCTATTTATTGGTACATTCAGCTCTTGAAGAGTGGCGTAAACGGAAGATGGAGCGGGCCAAGAAACGGGAACTTGGGAAGAATGGAACGAGCATCTGACCGTGTTCCCATGCCCTGGTGTGCAAAACATGAAGTCGAGTATCAAGAAACGAAATGCTTTAGTACTTGATTAAACCTTTTACTGTACTATATTTCAAGTGTGGGATACTCAAACTATGAAACTAAGTCAAAATTATTATTACTTCGTGATTGCGCTTAAACGGCAGTTTGGGTTAGGTTAGATATTGTTCTGTTCACCTTGTTTTTGTTTACTACTTAGCATTAATTCTGGTTAGAACAGAACATTCAAATGATACCTTATTAAACTCAAAGATTCATCACCATGCTGTTGAAGTTTTACAAGGGAAGAAAGAACGTAAGACTCTAATGACTGAATAAAATGAATCAAATGAAGTTAAATATGAATGAAAATTAAGAATTACTCTTGTCATAAGAATTGAGAGTATGAGAGCATAGTGTATTAGAGTGCCAAAAGTTGAAGTTACATTTTCTAAATGGAGATGGGTTATATATAGGAGTTCCCAACGGATACACTTCAAATAAAATCATCAAATCTAAATGGTTCCGCAAGAACCTTGACATTCGACCTTCTCTTTGTTCTTTTGACCGATCAATGAGCTTCGGTTCACCAAAAAGGGTTTTTTTTAACTAGGAGTGCATTCGTGCCGAGTCAAGCTCGAGTTGTTGAGCTTGAACTTAAACTTTGAAGAATTATACTTGAGCTCGAGTGCATTTTGCATATCGACGATGGTGACCGCGGGGAAGAAGACGAAGAAGACCCATGAGAGCATAAACAACAGGTTAGCCCTGGTCATGAAGAGCGATAAGTTTACACTTGGGTACAAAACCGTTCTCAAGTCTCTAAGGAAATCTGAGATTGAGTACTAGCTATGCTTGCTAAGGTTGGGGTTCATCATTACAATGGAAACAATGTTGATCTTGGGACAGACTGGAAAGTATTTTCGTGTGTCGTGCCTTAGCATTGTTGATCCAGGTGATTCAGACATCATCGATCAAGACTCTGCCTGGAGACCAATAAGAGATTTTATTAGTGGTGCTAAACACCTACTTTTCAGGATTATGTTAAACACATGTCCTCTTTGTTTTGTGCTTGTTTTCTCTGAGTTTGAGCATGATACCATTGGATTACATATCAATCAGAGTTATATTTTTCATTCAAAAAAAAAGTTTGAAGAATTTTGAAGAAGTCGAATTTGAGCTCAATCAAATAATAGAATTCTATCTCGAACAAAGCATACAAAAATATTGAAACACTTGAAAAACTTAAAGTTGTTTTTAAGAATTTTACATCACACTTATATAACAACAATTTATACAACACAGGAAGGTATTTACAACGACTCCATCTCTAAATACTACACTCCCATCATGACACAAGAACTATGACAAAGAATCTTCAACTTCAAACAACAAGTTGGAGAACTTTTTCAAGATGCATGGATGTGATCCAAATTGATACATTCTACAATGGCTTGAATGCGTCTTGTCAAGCTATCGTAGACAATTGAGAGGAAGGATATATCGGGAACAAAAATGAAGTGGAGACATTCCAAATATTTGAATTTATTGCCTCAAATCTTCAATTGCAAGAAGGGGACATCAAAGTTGTCGGTGTGAGTGAAGTCTCTATCACTGATGAGCTTGACAAATGATGTGCGGACTTTCAAACAAAAATGCAACAAAATCTTCAAGTTTCCATTCACACGGCTTTGCAAGTCGCAATAAGAGGGGCCAAACAAGTGGCCAATGTGGAGAGCAATTCACAACTGGAAGGAAACCTACTTCAAACTCTCTTCATCATTACCCCAGTGCCATAAAAGCGCCCACCTATGGTGGGGACAAAGGGGGTGAGGGGGGATCGGATGTACCCAGTGCCGCTGCTTTATAAAAAAAAAAGCGTAGACAGTTTAATGAGCCATTTTGCTTTATTCCATTAATTCTCAAACTATAAAATAGTGAATCTTTGGCTTCATTACAAATGATGAAAAATACTCTTGAAGATGTGAATTACATAAATTCATATGGAGAGGGGAACCGAATGAATAATTACTCCTACAACAACAAGGGTAAAGTAAAAAAAACTTATGGAAACCACAAGGGGGTCCTTCTAACCCTCAATCCGGAGTTTATAAATTTGGGCAATCCCAAGAAATTACTATGGAGGAGATGATGAAGCTCCTTACTCAAAATGTGGCTAGTATTAAAGTCCAAAATGAGGGGAATAATAGTAGAGTGGAGGCATTCATTGGAAATACCCACACTCAATTTCCAAAGTTTGACCTCTGGTTTGAAGATCAAAACCAGAAACTCAATCAACACAAGAACAAAATCGACCAATATACTAAAAGCGCGACTCACAACCTTGAAGTGAAAATTTGGCAACTTGCCCAAGAGAGGAGCATGCGGGAGCAACGAAGATTTCCCACCATTACAAAGGTGAACCCCGTGAAAACGTGATGACCATTACCACAAGGAGTGGTAAACAAACGGAGGAACCAATATGCCGGGAGAAGAGAAGATTCCAGAGAAAAAACAAAGGTAGAAAACAAGGAACTTATGCCGCCACCATCAAATATGGCTAAGTATGTTCTTCCTATTCCCTATCTCCAATGATTGAAGAAGGAAGATGGCAAACAATATAAGAAATTTATGGTCATTCACCATGCTTAGCATCAACATTCCTTTTTTCATATCTATCGCGGAGGTCCCTGCCTTTGCAAAATTTCTCAACATGATTCTTCCAAACAAGAAAAACTTGTCCGATTTCGCCACCGTAGCTCTCACAGAGGAATGCAGCGCCATCCTTCAAAATAAGCTTACTTCAAAGATGAAGGATCCCAGGAGTTTCACTGTACCATGCTCTATTGGGAAGATTGAAGAGGTTAGATCTTTAAGTAAACTTGGTGCTAGTATTAATCTCATGCCTCACTCCTTATAAAAAGGTTTGGTGTGGGGAAGATATCATCAACCACCATAGCCTTATAGTTAGTGGATAGATCAATCTGGTACCCTATTGCAACAAGGAAGATGTGCTTGTCAAAGTGGGAAAATTCTACATTCTCGTAAATTTGATTATTCTAAAAAGGAAATGGAGATCTCGGTCATCCTTGATAGATCATTCTTGGCAACAGTAGCGACCATTATAGACAATTAAGCGGGAACCATGAAACTAAGGGTGGGAGACGAAGATGAAATATTTCATGCATAGAATATACATCCCACTACAAACTCATTGCATGGAGCTTGAGAATAACATTTTCAATCCTCTAGAAATCTAAAGAATTGAAGAGCGAGGGATTCCGGTCCGTCTCAGTCAGAAGCTCAACTGAATGTCACAAAAATAAATCAGAAGTACCAACCATTGGCACATTAAAGTTTAAAAAGCACATATTTAAACTCGGGAATCCCCCGACCCCCAACACATCCCGAAGAAGAGATGAATTTCATTAAGCTTATTGATCTGTTCATTTCATTTCTTCACATCAATCGCCAAACATTATTCTTATTTTTCACATAAATTAAATAACACTTTTAATTTGAACCAAATTATATATATTATATATATAATGGGGATAAAGAATAAATATACCCTTGACCGTGATCATTTTACAAATTTAAACATATATAGCCATAATCATTTAAACATAAGAGTATATTTGTTTATATTTTATAATTTTTTTTTGTTTAATTGTTTCAAATGAAAGTTGAGATGTATATGTGTTCTGTAACATACTACTCAATTATATATTTGTACTTTCTCTCATATAAAATGTAACAACTCCTTGATTATGTTCATCAAGCTTTCAAGTATTGCGAAAATAAACTCGAACTCAACTTTGAAAGTATGTACAACAGCTTGACTTAGAGTCAAACTTTTTTCGAATCAAGTACATGCATATCAAGCAATATAACAAGTAGCTTGCAGGCTACTTGTTATACCCTTGACTATTTCACACCGTTCATATTATATCTGTTACATACCAAACCTATACTATATCTCAAACTATAAAGTTAGACAAGATGAGAAATATTTAGAGAAGATCATAGTACATAACATCAAAAGACTAGATCAAATCATATTTTAGAAATTGCTCTGAATAGCACTAAAACGTTTTGAAATTTCAAAATAAGACTTTCATGTTTTTATTCCTTCAATAGGAATAATTTCTGCCAAGTTTGGAAGAAATTGGCCGAAACTGCTATGTTTAAAGCCTAATACCAAACTTGGCAAAAATTACTCATATTTAGGGAATAAAAACACGACAGTCCTATTTTGGAATTTTAAAACCTTTTTACTCCTATTTAATGAGTTTTCCCATCATATTTTCTTCACAGGAAGAGAATACTCATTGCTTCTTTACCACTGAACTCAAAAATATACTATGTATAATGTGGTGCATCATGAACCTGATTTAGGGAGTGCTGGGAAGAACTAAAAAAAATCAGCTTTTTTCCTTAAATAAGTAAAAAGCAGTTTTTTAAAACAAGTAATTCTACTTAAAGTTAAGTAATTTAATACTAAAAGTTGAAAATAAGGGATATGTTTCTAACTGTTTTCCACTTTTTTCTATTACATAAAAAAATACATTTTCACTGAATATAGTAACTTTTACTTTATGAAAATTACTTTTCTTTTCAAACACTACAAACTTTAGTTTTGATCATTTTTCATATAATTTTTAAAGTAAATCATTTCTCAAAAGTAGAACTAAACATAAACACTCTTTTAGCATGCAAAGCCATATGTAATCCCTCTCCTAGGTGAATCTAGATTTGACATAAAACAATGCAAAGTATGAAGACCGTTTGTATTTTCTTCTACTTTTGAATTGTTCTATTTTTGAGATTATACGAAAAGTGATTGATAGTAAAAGTCAGTATGATTTTTTGCATAATAATACTCCAAAGAAAGAGTGAAAATAGTTTAAAACAAGTCTCCTCTTACTCTAGTTTTGAAGTGTTTAATTTAAGAGGCAAATTTGGTCAATAACCTTTAATTCCAAAACGATATAATTACTTTAGTACTTTTTTCAATAGCTAAAAGAGAATTATTAATAAAGTACTTGATAAAATATACTACGGTATCATCTTTAAAACAAGTGATACTTTGCTAAACACCTACTTTTCAGGATTATGTTAAACACATGTCCTCTTTGTTTTGTGCTTGTTTTCTCTGAGTTTGAGCATGATACCATTGGATTACATATCAATCAGAGTTATATTTTTCATTCAAAAAAAAAGTTTGAAGAATTTTGAAGAAGTCGAATTTGAGCTCAATCAAATAATAGAATTCTATCTC